AAAAAAAAAAAAAAAAAAAAAAAAAAAAAAGGGAAAAAAGGCCCTGTGACTGTGTTAGCATGACTCTGAGCATCATGCAGTGGATCAGGAGGTTTCGGCTCATTCGGTTAGCTGCTCTATGGGGCTTTATAGGTTTATGGTGTTCAGAACACAGGTAATGCAAGATCTGGTCAGCCTGCGTCTTACAATCTAAGCAAAATGCAGTAAGACACAAAAAACCTCATATGTTGCAAACCACCCACAACTGACTTCTGCATAGGGAACCTGAGAAGGGTGCAAGACTAGCTAGGAAAGCTTTGCTTTCGTGCATCTGTCAAGAAGTATCTTCCAATGGGACTTGTCTGGGAAGAAAGTAAATTGCTGTTTGCTGGAAATCCACCCTTTACAAGAACATGACATCTTTACCCCAGGACAAACTCCGTGCTGCCCTTTGCAGCACATACATCATTAACTTATGATTGTAGGCAGTTATTTCCTTCTTCCATTTTTTCACAGGAGATGGAAGCATACTGACTTGCCTTGGTTAAGCTTTCCTCCTCATCTTTGTTCTGCAACATTCTCACAGGTCTCCCTGTGGTAATGCAAGTGGTAATGTTTGAATACCCATGTAACTGAAGGCTCGGTAGTGCTTTCAGTAGAATTGAACCACATGGTATCCATATTATTCTATTTATATACTGGAAGTTTTTCCTTTTTATTTCACACATCTAGAGTTAAAAATTTAGAGCAGTAGTAGTAGCAAAGTGCCTCTTGTCTATTGACTGCTTTAATTATTAGCCTACTTTTGCCTTCTGCAGCTATATTAACACAAAGCAGAAAACAAACTCCCTGACTGAAGTAGCAAGGCAAAAAATATAGAAGTCTCCGTTCTCTTAACACAGTGGGCTAAAAAGACATTGAAGATAAATAGTTCATATAATTTATTTCATTTTAGTTTATTCAAACAGTAAGGTACTTTATCTTGCACCAATAAAAAACAGGATTTCACTGGATTAAGTAATGATATTCAGTTTTAATAGAGAAAGAGTATTCATCTAATACAACTTTATGTATAATATAGGATTTAAGTATTTTTACTGGTAGTGTTTTATGAAAGAAGAGATCTCCAAAGGTAAAAATTCCTCCTCAGCTTATGCTAGAAGTGTTTTTTGTTCGTTTTTCTCTCAAAACATACTGTACAACATCAACATTTCTAATCCTCTAACAAATTTTACAGTGCAAATGGTAATTAACTACACCTCTAAAAAAAAAAGAAAAATTATTTAAAAAGTCGCATAACACACAACGGTACACAAGAGCTTTTGCTTTTTAAAAGCACTTGCATCCAAGCAAAAAAATCACAGAAGTAAGATTTGGTTTTCCAAAACCCATAAAACAAACTGCAGAACATATAAATAGAAATATCTCTAACATATTTTGGATGACAAATGTGGTAAAATGTGGATTAAACTAAGAGCTGTGCTGGCAAATATTCATCCTTAAATGGCACTAATAAATATGTTAGAGTAAGAGCTTAGCATGCTGTTTCTGAGGTAGAGGCATAGTAACTGTTACTGTCCTTTTTTATCTCAGTTAATAACTTGCTCCAAGAAAATTTGCATGACTACAGTTCCAGTAGCTGTGAAGTCAAGTTGTAAATTGTCATTCCTCTATGATACAACTGACAGGTGGGAAATTCATGTGCACATGTGAAATGTACATTGTTAAGCACAACAGAGTCACAGAAAATTCCTAACTGTCCTGAATGACGTTAACCTGCTTCTGTTGGCGACTATAAATCCATCATTATATAAATCCAAAAGGCTCAGTGATTTGTGAGTGACAAATAGGTTTGGTCCTGGTCAGTAATCTATCTCACTGCCTTTTGTTTATGCTTTTCCCCTGATTCTAGCCCATGTTTTTTTGAAATGCAGAGCTCCTTCTCAAATTACAGTGCCAAATATGCTCTTGCTTTTTATCCCTTGTAGAGCTAAAACAGCTCCACTGCACTTTAACACTGCATGAAAGCAGAGTTAGGCTTGCAAAGCAGCATGGCCCTGCGCTCCCCAGAGCAGACCAGCTCATTACATTGTGCGCACATCCTAGAGGGGAAGAAAAGCAGCTCCAAAAAAGCTGACAAAAAAAGTATCAAGCTCATTTTTTTAAGTCCACATAGCTGATGAACTGATAAAGTTGAAAAGCATAGATGGGACATTTTATTAAGATTTTTCTGTGGCATCACTCATCCAACCAGGATTTTCTTACTTTTTGTAATCTACCAAAACCAAGTCCAACATGTCTTCTGAACTTCTAAAATTTAAAGGTAGACCAATGTTACATGTTTTGCCTTTGCAGTATAATGGAGACCTGTTATACTTGCGAAACTCCCTCCAACAAATACTTTCCAAAGTGCCTCCATTTACTGTTCAGTTATGAAGTCCAAAAAGTGACTTAATTTGCCTTTCTGTAGCCCTTCTTACTGTGACACTGGAATATTTGGCCATATAGCCTTGTAAGCATTATAGTCCAGCTAATGAAAGAGTTTCTTTCTTCTTCTCTCATTTATCTCATTCTTCTTTGTGCTCAGCCTCCACTGTGTGAAGGCACAAGTGCATCATTTTAAGGTCAGTGAGAACAGGGAGGATGGCACACATAGCAGTGTTACTGCATGCTTCCTTTTTCATGTGCTTGTGTTTCCTTCATAGAGAAACTTCCTGTGGAAGCAAAGTTGCCATGGTATAAGCAGGCTCAAGAGCTGGAGGAAGGAACAGCTGTATCTGAAGAGCCATCGTAAGTCTTGAAAATTTGCTTAAAACAGGCTCTCATTATGTGATCCAGAGAAATTGTTGATGCTCCCTCCCTGGAGGTGTTCAAGGCCACATTGGATAGGGCTTGGAGAAACCTGGTCTAGGGGTAGATGTTTCTGCCCATGGCAGGGGAGTTTCAACTAGAGGTTCTCTAAGGTCGCTTCCAACCCAAAGCATTCTGTGATTCTGTGATGATTCTCTGTGGGAATCTGGTGCTTGTGCAGAACTAACACAGTCTCCTGATGCATTGGGTTTTCATTAGAGTGTAAAGGCCAAACCCAACCCTGTGAAAATCAATAGTGAAAATCACTTAGGTGTGAAGAGACAGATTTCAAGAGATGAACGCAGATTCGATTTAAGCAAATACATACGTGTTTTATTTAAGGTCATTTACAAGAATATTATAATAAGAGTCTATCTTCCTAAGCAGTTATGTGTTGTCCATTACCACTGTATCTTCAAACTCAGCACCTTTATGTATTTTCTCAATCACCCTGTGAAATAAGAGGTAAAACAAGGCAGTTAGTGATGATTCCTCCTTGCCTCTTCCCCCAGGGAAAGGCACAAGTAACAGAAAAAAAAAAAAATTTAGCAGAAAATAAACCAGAAAACCTGTGATGTGTACCACATAAACCTTTAGCAATGAGGCTCAGAAATTAAAAATACTGTGATGATTACATTTTGGAAATTTTTTTTTTCTGAAACTGTGATAAATGCATGCTATAATTACAAACTCTGTTCACAGCTTTAATAAATATCCAGTTCCTCATGTCTGAGCACATGGCATTTTTTGTTGCAGTTGCAGCTATGTGTTAGACTAAAAAACATTGTTTGTTATGCAATACGATAGTTATATGTATATGTAACAGTCACATATATATAACTGTTACGCAGTTTTGGCATGGTTCATCTGAAGTTAAGTAATTTGAAACTGGAACACCGAAGGAGAGCTAGAGTCATACACAAAAAGACTCTCAAAAGAAAAATTATCCAGCTGCTGTATGTATACATGCATACATAGATATAGACAAATATAGGTACTCACATGCATTTGTACACACTTATGCACATACAAATATACACATTAATATGTCTTTATATATATATATATATTAGTAGCAGCTATCACATATAGTATAATGAGATATTTAACTCTTTTCAGAATTCCATAGGTGTTATAGGTTGATTCATTCAGAGTCAAAACCTTGAAAATTTGGTATTTGTGAATACACTAATTTTTAATTTGTGAAGTGCAATTTATTTTCTTGTGATTTTCTTGTGACTGTTCTAAATTACTTAGCTAAGTGTACATTTATCAAACTGTAAATAAACCTTTAAAACATACATAAATTAGAATTTATACTGATACACTGTTGTGTGGTCATATATGAAATAATTTGTTACACTAAGAAATTTTTTTTATAAATTTTGTGAACAAGGTTGATCACACTGTAGAAAATGAGTATAGTTATAACTACATATATATATTTGAGTATATGTAGCTTTAAATATTAACAAGAAGGTATTTGTAGAAAATAGGCATAGTCTGCAGGGAAAAATGAAGAGGCTTTTGTTTATCATAATGTGTATTTTAATAAAATATTCTGGAAATGCTTATGGGTATATTACTTGTAATATTAAAACAGACCTTGAGAGATTTAAAGATAAAGGGGTTTAAGAACTTAAAAATGTTTTCAAGTGCATCTATGACTGCTCCTCATTTTATAGGTCACTGCTCTGCTGCAATACAGGCCCTGTCCCACAAAGACAGCCTAATTTTTTTTACACCATCTAATGTAAGACTTCAGTGGTACCAGTGGAACATTGACATATCCGTGCGGTGGGGCACAGTCCAGACTAGGTTCAATCTGCCACATGGTGACATTTTGTACATTTGTTTTCTCCCTGCAAGGCACAAGTCTAGGAGCATTTCTATTCTTTATTTTAGGATGATGAGAAATCTACTTGACATAAATGAAATTCAAGTACAGATTTTTATATGTGTTGACTAACAGGGAAAATGGCACAAAGTTAGGGTCTTTACGCAAACTTTCCCAAAGTTTGTTTAGTTTGGAATGGTTTTTAGTGATAAGGCATGAGACAGAAAACCGAATAAAAACTTTAAAAAATTTAAGCTGAAAGAACCATCCATGCAATCCCCACTGGTATACTGTAACAACCAGAATATCTAATCTGTTTTGGCGATCTTCTCCAGTGAACTTCCACCTAAAATTAGTTTCGATGCCTCACTATTAATAGTGTTTGTCATTAATGTCTAACTTTAAACAGTTATTCATTTTAGATCCTGGTCATTAGATTGAAAAACTGTATGTAACTATAAAGAATGAGACAAAACATTCAGAATGCACCAAGATACAAGCAAATATCAATTTTGGTGACAGCTTTATGGCATCACTTCTCCTCATTTAGCTGTGTAGGGATTTTAAACACACCAACTAGGTGAAGAACAAGATGTATTCCATTATAATGTACCTTTTGGTCTGTGCTCCTGCAGCTACACAGAGACACACTATAATACTCCATGGCCCACCAGTCTGACAAATGTCAGACTACCACCTATATACGTGGCTGATAAATTATCAGTCAGTGATGTAGGTACATGGTAATTTGAGTGTTTGAACATGTTGGATCAAGCTCTAGCTGGTGTAAGACTTTGTGTGATGTGGCCAGCTATTTTGCTGACTGTAGATTTGAGTAACAAAAATGTGACTCAACTTCTTACTGTCTTACACTTAAGTGTGTTGCAGTGTGTTACTTTGCTGCGAATATTTAGAAAACGTCCTGGGGTTGTACAAAACAATTTTCATTGTTGGTTTCCCCTCCTCTAAGAAAGCCGTTCCTTTCCTCTGATCTGGTCTAACAGACCTGGCTCAGCAGTGTTGGAGGTAGGAGTAGACCTGGGCAGCCAGGATGAGCCCACACTCTTTCACTCAGCAGAGAGGGAATGATGGACTGCATGGAGGGGATGGGGAAAGCTGGGGGTGAGAGGGAACAGCAGATGGCCTCTGGTGTCATGGTAAGCCAGATGCGAAAAGGCAGAATTGCGTTCATAAGTGTGTTTACTTGAAGTTACAGTAATGGAAGTTTCTTCAGAGAAGCTATGCTTATATAATTTTCCTATTTGCTCTGCATTGGTGCAGTAATAACCAATGTGGTGGCCCCACTTGAGCAGACATCAGCCAGGATTCATTCTTTTTCCACACTTTATCTGAGGCTATTCCCAAGCTTTCTTATGCTACCAGGTCACGGACTGCCCCCATTCTCCTCTACAGACAGGGTCATTATTTGTTGCCAATAGACCATTCTTCCCCTACTACTGTGACCCTTTCTTCCTTATCATTCATCGGGCAGAGAAAATAAACCTCATCTATAAGCAACTATATTGTCCTGCTTAAAGTTTATATTTAATGAGAAGTTTAAGAACTAAAACCAAAAATTTTCAACATATTTCTTCCAGGTATTAAGTTCTCATATTTTTGAGTCTCTGTATTACTGTCTTCTGACTTTTGTGACTTTCTATTGAATATGATCTTTGTTATGAAATATACTATGATTTGTAAAGCTACAGTATTTTTTTATACTATACTTTCACCTGTAATTTGTGATAATTCTCTGATGTGTGCTGCTAGAGCACCAGATGTCTCAATTTTATTCCATCTGTGTATAGTGCCTTCTATTATTTATATCTTTCCCGGGCAGATGGAGCTCGTTAGCCCGTAAGGCAATCCA